GCGGCGGCCCCGGCGGCAGCGCTGGCATCGGCGCTGTGCGACCTCTCCGCACCGCCACGGGTTGCTCAGGTGCCTGGGTTTGCAGGTTTGTTGCTTCGCGTTGCAGGCACGTGGCCGTGGGAGTTTTGAACAGATCTGCTCAAACAGAGCAGTTCTCTCTCGTTTCCACATCAGAGCGTGATGCTGAAGTTGGTGTGCACAGGCAGACCGGGTGATGCAGGAATCCTTCTTCCTTTGCTTTAAGTGCAATATTATGATACGTGTTCTTGCCCTTGGGGTTTGCTGCGTTTACTGTCAGCAGCACTCTGTGTGCATGAGTATTATTTTGAGAAACTCACATGTTTTCTTTCCTTAATTCTCTTGTGTTTGAAGTTCAAACACAGCAAGATTTGTATATTCCTGAATTGTTTGTTTTGACTTTCATAAATTAAAAAATTTAGGGTTGGTTTGTTTGTTTGCTTTTTCATAAGACCCTGTCGCGAATGAGCAGTTAGGTCACTTAAATAATCACTGCCACAGATATTTGTAAATAGTGATTTTAATATAAATTTATAAAAGGGTGATTTAACAGAGTTTGGTGGCAAGGTTCACTCTATTACTTATTAAATGAATGGAATATATGGAGAGAGAGAGAGAAAGGAATACAAGGAGGGGTAAAGGAGGCCCTCCCATTGAGTCATGAGGTTCAGAATGGACCCCCTTGCTTTCTAAACTCCTTCTCAGGGAGGAGCCGAGGTGCTCTAGGAATTTTGCCCTGTTCCAGCATAAACCCTGGATTTAGTAGCTTAGAATATTTGCCTCTCATTTGCCTCTCGTCTTCCTGTATTTCTTTAAAAGTTGTATGCAGAAGCTGAATTGACATGGATATCTAAATATTTTCCTGTCTTTGTTGACAATATAAGGTCATAAATCTATTGCTGTGTTCAGGCTCCTTATAAAAACACTTTTTTTTTTTAAAAAAAAAGGTTACTACTTGTTTGAGTATTTAAATACGAGCATGTAGTTTTGAGTATGTAGTTACTAATTTCCCAGATGGGTCTAATACTCCATAATCTGCTTCTTCATGTGTATTGTTTAGCACGTGTACTTTATTTTCTAGTATTTGATGCACCAAATCTGTTGACTGCCTAGGTTCAGTCAAGGAGTTGGACGTGTATCTTGACTTAGTTTTGCAGTTAGTCAAAATCAGTAAGACTATGCATTTAGTTTGCTGATTAGTCCCACTGAAATGCACAATAGAACAAGTAAGGGCTCCTCTGCAAGCAATTTGTATATTCAGGTCCCAGGATGCACAGTTTCCTGGGAAAATGAAGTATTCAATACTAGTAGGAAGGTCATTAGGGACTTCTAAGGACAGAACTTGATAGCTTAGGCTCTAAACCATATTTTATGTAGTGGCAGCTTCAGACTAGCCCTGTGTCAAGTTTGCTGAAAGTTTCATCTCAATGTAGGCTTTGAAAGGAAGGAAGAATTTTGTGTGTGTATTTTCCCCACCCCCGAATCTCCTGTACCTCCTGCACTTTTGTTTGCGGAGTTTCTTTTGCCGTCTCCTTCCACCCCCGCCTTTGAGGGATTCCACTGCTTCTCGTTTTATATCTGTCCCACAAGATTCTGAGTAACAGCTGTGAAATGTAGCATTCTTGTTGATCTCTGTCTGGAGCTGTTTGGCAAAATGATAAGATGTAGTACAAGGCAAATGCTTCATGTCCAGCTTTGTGTGATGGCACAGGGACAGGAGAGGCTCTGTAAAATTAAGTCTCTTTTGAACAGTTAGATTTCTTAGTGCATATGTCTGTGTCCAAGCCTTCTGCAAGTTTAGCAGCTGCTGCGCAGTGAAATTTCAGTGTAGGCATTTGATTTTGTAATACTTATTGCTGACTAATTTATTTCATCTTGCAGAGACTGGAAATACTGTTGAGAAAACGACAAAATGAGTAGTCGTCGAAAACGTGCACCTCCATCAAAGATAGATGAGGAGAAGAAGAAGCAGCTCTGCTGGAATATGCATGAAGACCGCAGAAATGAGGTGATAACATTAGATGATGAAATGACTAATGAGGACCACGTTCCAGGTCCAAGCACTTCTTCTTCATCCTTTGTTGTTATAAATGATGATAGCACTGATGAAGATCTTATTCAAAAAGAAGGCAGTGGCTCAAAATCTGTTAAGTTTTTGACAGTTAACGATGAAGAAGACTCTTATTCCATCTTGACTCCTGTGTCAGTACAGCTAAATATTATAGTCTTGCCATACCGTGCGGATGGGTCCTGGAAAGCTTTGTTGGGAGAATTTGTTCTTCGTCTTCCTTCTGAGCAAATTCTAACTAACAAATTCCATGAAAGGAGCTTTACGTTGATGAGAGGAGACTCTGATGATCAGTTGCAGGTCTGTGTTCATGAAAGAAGTGAAGAAGAGTACAGTAATGAAACAAAAGAATACCTGGGTGCTTATGAACAACGTATTTTGGTGGAAACAACTTTAGGTGGTGAAATATTGGAAGGCTTGAGATGGTTGCAAAAGAAAAAGATAATTGGACTTTATCAAAGACCTGGAGAGGCTCAAGCTTTAAAGGTATGGGTTCGTATATTTGTTTTGCATTTTTAAAGTTGTTCTTTTTTGTTTGAAATATAAAATAAAAACCTCTGAGCAACGAAGTCTGGCAGCTACCATATATTTTTATAATGTGATGAAAAGATACAGTTTCTACATGCTTATGTAAATGTTTTCAGTGTGTTTTTTCCTAAAAACTTCTTTTTACTGTTGCACCATTAGTAACGCATTACCCGAAGGAATCAGAGAAGCTTCTAGCTGCAATGTACTGTATCCTCTATATGGTGATTTTAGTAGATTTGTTATATCTGTCTATATCTGCTAATTTTCAAAGCACTGTTATTATTTTCATGCTCTTCTGTTTATAATATTCTTGTCATTCTAACAGTTAATTAAATGATTAACTGTATAACCATTTCACAGGTTGGAATTTACCTTCTGGAAGCTGGGCTAAGTAAACCGGAGTTTCTCAGCGATGGAGGTGGAAGACCCAAAAAAGCTAATCAGCTGATTCAAAAACTCATGGAAAAGTTCTATAGTTTTTTAATTCCAGGTAATGCGATTCAATTGAAAGTTGATGAATAATTTTTGTTAATAAAATACGTCTGTTTTTAGTAGTTTTAAATGTAAGAGAAAGTAGTAAGTTATTCCTGCCATCTAGAGCAACTTTATTTTCAAGGTAATATTATTAGGTAATTCTCTCCATATTATTATCTGACCATTAATCATATGCTGATTAGTTTATGGTCAAATTACAGGTGATAATATTCTTTCTCTACAGATAAGGCACTGAGGCACATAGCAGTTTGAGTCCTTAACTTTTTGGGAGTAAATACAATTTTCACTGATTAGTGTGGGTTGTTTGACCAGCTCTACAGTAGCTTGTCTGAGTTACACAGGAACTGTTTAAAAGAACCAGGAATTAAATTTGGAAAACTTTTGTTCCTAGTTTGGTGCCTAACACACAACTGTGGCAACAGGATTTCTATTTGGTTTATATTGTAAAGTAGGTACAATGTAAACTACTGCAAAGTGCACCTTTATGACAGTTTTAAGAATACACCACTGCAAATATACAAATATGGGCCTTGTTGTCATTTTGGAATTGAAGATGTGTTTGCCAGATTATACTCAGTAGTGATACAGATTTTTAGGGTGACCAGTGACTGCTTTATGGTGTGATGGCTTAGGAAACTCTTAAAACAAAAACAAACCTTGGTCTCATTCCTGAGTGTAGGAGGGATTTGAAATGTTAGTTGAAGACTGACTCAATAACAGTGACCGTAATATACAGAGTTTCAGTGTTGTTGCAGAAGTGACGGAAGTCTGGCACCCCCCGTACAATTGTACTTAGTTTCAAAAGGCAGAATGGTATAAAAAATTAAGCAACTTGCTAAACAGAAGCTAAAAGGAAGAGTTAGCAGAATAAAATCTGTACATCCATGCCTGCTGCAAAGAACAAACGTGCAACTGTCAGAAAGAAGTTGATATACCAAGAGAAGGGCCAGTATAACTATGTGGGGAAGGGAAGATATTGCACGTAAGAAGTCATCCTTCAAAAACTGAAGTAATCTGACTGAAGCAAGTTTGTCAGTTTAGGTTTTAAAGCACAATAAAGCAGATCCAAAAAGAAGTCTGAAGAATAAATAGTTTAAGATAGAGAAATGAATAGTAATGCTTTTAAATGCATTAGAAGAAATACATTATCATGATTGCATTAGAAGCAGAATAACTGCCAGAGAATTCATAGGCTTGAGATGATGGAAGGCATATGAAAGAGTGCTTAAGTAAAGTAATTCTGTAGCAGGAATCACAATTTTCTGCATATCTTCTCATTATGGACAAAATGAACAGTGACCTATTTTGAGATCCAAAATAATTTTGTGCTGGAACTTGGGGCATTTGTCCTCAGTACGCTAAAGGATAGATTTTTATGGACTACATGGTTGAGTGTAGCTTACAGGTGAAGAGGAAATATAGCTTCTGAAAGGGAAGACATCCCCCTCAAAGTTACTGGAGCAAGAATGTGGACCTGAGTGATTGGGTTGTTATGCCTTAACTTATGTTTTCAGAAGACATGCAACCAGCTCAGGTTCATAAAGGAGCTGTGTTGCCAACTGGTAAATTTTCTGACCATTTTTCAGCATGTACATTTTGATGCGGCGTAAAATAATGTAGTCTTGATTCTATGCCAATGAATAACATGTAAATGATAAAGTAAAATGGAGGGTGTGGAGAATAGAAATAAGCGGTTGTTAATTTGTATGAAGGTCACCAGTCAAGTCCTACAAAGGCATGTGCAGCTTAATATATTCCTAATGCTTTGGGAAGTACAGTGATTGGTGAGATGGTATCATCAACAAACTTTAAATGTATTATTCAGCATAATAAAGATGAACAACTGAAAGCTTGCAAGCAGACTAGGCAATGGAGATTTCATATAAATTCAATATAGATAAATATAAAGCGATGCAGAAAAAAAAAATCCTCACTTCACATTAGAAAAAAACGATGGCCTCTTTGCTAACTGTTGCAGCTAGGGTTGTTCAGTATGTAGGTGTATAGCTCAGTAAATGCATGAACTTAGTGTTCAGTGTCAGTCAAACACTGGATTGGATAAGTGCACTCTGCGCTGGGTTGAAACTGGCTGGACGGCTGAGCCCAGAGAGTGGTCGTGAATGGAGTCAAATCCAGCTGGCGGCCAGTCACAAGTGGTGTTCCCCAGGGCTCAGTGTTGGGGCTGGTCCTGTTCAACGCCTTCATTGATGATCTGGATGAGGGGATTGAGTGCAGCCTCAGTAAGTTTGCAGATGACACCAAGTTGGGTGGAAGTGTCGATCTGCTGGAGGGTAGGAAGGCCCTACAGAGGGACCTGGACCGGCTGGATCATTGGGCCGGGGCCAACTGTATGAGACTCAACAAGGCTAAGTGCCAGGTCCCGCACTTTGGTCACAACAACCCCATGCAATGCTACAGTCTTGGGGAGGAGTGGCTGGAGAGCTGCCTGGAAGAAAAGGACCTGGGGGTGTTGGTTGACAGCCTCCTGAACATAAGCCAGCAGTGTGCTCAGGTGGCCAAGAAGGCCAATGGCATCCTGGCTTGTATCAGGAATAGTGTGGCCAGCAGCACCAGGGAGGTGATAGTGCCCCTGTACTCGGCATTGGTGAGGCCGTACCTCGAGTACTGTATTCAGTTTTGGGCCCCTCACTACAAGAAGGACATCGAGGTGCTGGAGCGCATCCAAAGAAGGGCAGCGAAGCTGGTGAAGGGTCTAGAGGACAAGTCTTATGAGGAGCGGCTGAGGGAGCTGGGGTTGTTTAGCCTGGAGAAGAGGATGCTGAGGGCAGACCTTATTGCTCTCTACAACTACCTGAAAAGAGGTTGTAGTGAGGTGGGGGTTGGTCTCTTCTCCCTAGTAACAAGTGATAGGACGAGAGGAAATGGCCTCAAGCTGCGCCAGGGGAGGTTTAGGTTGGATATGAGGAAAAACTTCTTCACCGAAAGGGTAGTCAGGCATTGGCACAGGCTGCCCAGGGAAGTGGTTGAGTCCCCATCCCTGGAGGTATTTAAAAGACGGGTAGATGTGGTGCTTGAGGACATGGTTTAGTGGTGGACTTGGCAGTGCTGGGTTAATGGTTGGACTTGATGATCTTAAGGGTCTTTTCCAACCTAAACGATTCTATGATTCTAAACCAAATCAAAGGTAAAGAATTGTCCCGAAAGTATTAGAGAACAAAACAGGATCATTATACTATATAAGTCCATAGTGTGCATTATGCTGTGTTCTAAATTCAGAAATAAAACATGTCACAGAAGTGGAAAAGATTTGGGAGGGAAGACCCCAGGTGGCTACACACTGTGAAACCAGTTACATTTTCTAACAGTTTTTAAGCACATACTTTTTGATGTAGCATAAAATAATGTAGCCTTGATTCTGTGCCAATGAATGCATTCCTCTTAAGAAGTGTAAATTGATTTCCATTTCTAACAATTTAGTCTGTATTTGAATTTCACCCGTTTTTGAACACAATTAATTGGAATTTTTGTAAAACTGCATGTAAGTATGTATTTTAACACTTGTCAACATGCATGTAAAATGCACTTTACACAACAACATTCCAAGACGCTCCACGCTTCTTCTCCCCATTGGTGAGCAAATTCTTGTGTTGATGGAGTTGCACACAAGGATTTACACAAATAAGGGACATGACCTCTCTATCCCTACATTTAATTTTTATATATTTGTTTTCCTCAATGTATTCATCCCATTAATGTCCTTCTAGTTGGTTTTGAGACTGTGGCAGGAATTCCATCTCAAGTTATGGCAAGCATAGGATAGATGCATTAATGAAGCTGCAAAAGAGTGACAAAATATTTAATATGCCGAAGCTTCATGAGTTTTGAACATTAATTGTGGAGTTAACCACTTTTTTGAGAAATTTGTTTACAGAGATTTCTTTTTTTTGCTTTAATAAATAGGTGGTTTTATAATAGCTCATATCCTGTATTTGCTGTATAATATTACATATTGCTTTGTGTTGCTTCACTGAACACACAGGCCTAGATCACTTATAGACCCAGCTAGCTGCTTTCTTAATATGAAAAACACCATAGTCTTTATAATTAAAATAATTAAAAAAAAAAAGACTAAAATGTCTGTTTAATTGCTGTTTGTTCTAGTGAATGGTAAATGTTTCAGAGTTTTTCCCATAGTGTCATGGAACTATAGTATGACACACAATAGCATGGCGATAGCATATACCATATACCGTTCGCCTTCAGTTTTCTTAAGAAGAATAAATTCTTTGTACAAAGAAGAGTTTTTTTGGTCTTTGTATGGCATTTTTTAATACCAAATGTGAAGCAAGAAGTTTTCCATTAATCTAGAATAAAGGGGGAAAAGATTACATTTTCATTGATGTAGATACTCTTATACAGCGATCCGGAAACTGCCCAACAGATAAAACTGAAAGATCCTATTCCAGATGCAATAACAGAACTTTAGTTCACTCATTGAAGGAATTAAGTAGAATACTTGATTATGAAACATATCATAGAAACTGAATTTTTTAATAGTACAATGCCATCTGTTTCTCAAAGGTAAATGATACTAAGATGAAAGCTGTGTAATTGAATTACATTTTTAAATGGTTGAAAGCATAATTAAATATTCACTGTTTACCTCTTCTCAGTTACTTATTAAACTTCCTTAGCATCCTATTAAAAATCCCTGTGGTACATAGAACCATTTAATCAGGAAAAAAAAAATCTTGGAGAGAATGAACAAAACAAGAAAGGTATGGACAAAGCATATCCAATTGTATGAAAAAACATTTTACTTTAAAGTATATTCTAGTCTTTGCTCCCCCGTAAAATTCTGGATAGACTTAGTTAATATAGAAGTCAATTTATTATGCTTTGAAATGTGAAATTTGAAAACTGTTATTTTAGCAAGTATGATGGTAGGTGTCATTATAGATCAACTTCATTGATTAGAGTTATACTTTGCAATCACTCTTAATTTTTCTGTTCTTTCCATGAAGTGAGTAATGTGTGTGAGAGGATCCCTTGGAATGGTTTCTGTAGTATATAAAGCTGCGTGCTCTGCTTGGTGCTTTTCCTTTGGCTGGAACATTAATAACTCCACATGTGCGCTTTGGTTGCTGCCTTTACGAGTCTTTGTATGTATAGTTTTAGGATTAGGGGAGGGCACTGGTGGCTGCCATACCTGGGCACATCATTTCCTGCTGTTTGTTTTGGAAATGATTCTTCACCTTCACTGTTTGTTTGACTGAAAGAAAGCTTTTGCTTTCTGTGAAAGAGAGTCCTAATAGACCTAAAACACTGTTAAAACTTGTCCTCTAAGTCTTTTGTTCCCTCAGCTTATGTCGGTTTCCCAAAATGCTGACCCTTGAATTTTTCATGGATTTTTGTTCTACTGTGCTTAGGTTCTGTGTATGTCCATATATCCAAATTATGTGAAAAATATATAAGTACAAGGCCTTCTTACCTGGAGGGTAGAAAAGAAGGGTAGGACTTCTGTCCCAGAAGGTACATACTTCTCTTGAGGTGGGGTTTTAATTTCTAAAGTATGCCTTGTCTGAATTTTTGCAATGATGCAAGTGGTGAGAATTTCTTGTTTTCCTACTGCTACAATTTTCTTATCGAGATGGGCAATTTAAAATTAAAATGAAATCTCACTGAAGAGAACCTCATGTTTTTTTTTTTTAATATGTTATTTTATCAAGGAAGGCTTTATTTCATGAAAAATGTACAAATCTTTGACAGCCCACTGTGTTTTTCCTCTTTCTGTGAGATCATTGACCCATGCTAATATTTGAATGTGAAATACGAGTTATTTGTGGTTTTGTATCAGTTGGAAATGTTTAGTGGAAGGTCTTTATCAAACAAACAAGGTCTGGTCATTCTATCCCTAAATTCTAAAGGAAGAGCTTTGCTGATTACGTGTACCTCTGTGATCGCCATAGCGTGTTAAGATGAACTTTCAGGAAAGTAGTGCTCATTGTTTCCTACTGCTGCTAGCCGAGTCAGGTGCAGTCATGACATATGTTTAAGTGATGTTTTGCTTTGCTTCATTTCATATGGTAACTAAATATGTTGCAGCAAAATTTACTGAAATATTGACCAAAGTTGATTGATAATGTGTGTCTTGAATTATTTGGTGTATGCAGATGAGCTGGAGGAAGATGAGGAAGAATCTGACATGGAACTAGAGCGACAAAATATTGAAGAGCTTTATGACTTTGTAAGGCACACCCATCAGCAGGATATCCAGTTACTGAGAGAGGATGTGCAGCATCCTGCGTTAATTCCTATTCTGAGGCCATACCAAAGTGAGGCTGTGAACTGGATGCTTCACCGAGAGAACCTCACAAGCACTCCAACCAGTGGCAAGTATATGGGTCTGGAAAACTTGCGTAATTGAGGAAAGTGGCATTGTATTGTCCCCAGTAATCTTTTCTTGCTGTTTGATTAGAAGCTTTGTTAATTATTTCATTACTATTTTTATAAAAGCTGTTGTTTGGGTAGTACACTAAATGATGACCTAACTTTGCTGAACAGCAGTTGATGTATCTTGCTGGTCATGAAGCACTGTGGAGGTAGACGTTTGCTTTTTGTCTCTAAATGTCATGATAAGGCTGAGCAATTCTAAGCAGCGTGCTGTTTATAGAGAAGCCTCACAACAGTAACATGAACTCTTTCTCCATAGAAAATGCACTGCACTTCTTATGGCGAGAGGTCATCACTCTGGATGGAGTGAAAATCTACTATAATCCATTTACTGGCTGGTATGTTTTTATAGTTATCGCTTTCTGAGAAAACCTCAAGGTTGTACTTTGTGAAAACCTTATTGGCAGCTTTTACCTGGAGGATATAAGATAATCCATAACTGTCATTTTTCAGTTAGCAACTAAAGAATTAGAACAGTGATCCCTTTAATTTGGAAAAAAAAGACAAACTGGAGTATATAATGCACCGGTAAATATGTAAATCTCAAGTCGAAGACATAATTCTTAAAGCTTTTTTATTTATTTCAGTGCAAATTTCTGGTTTTAAGATTAACATTTTTTTAAATTAGAGCATTGGAGACTTCGACCTTCTGGTCCAATGTTTTTAAAATCTAAAGGAAGGAGGCAGTATAATGCTTTTTATTAATACTGGATATTGCATTATTAATTCTGCTTCACTTTTCTCATTAATTTGGTTAGAATAGAACCTTTTGAATGCTAGTTTGCTTTTTATTTTTTCCCTATATAACTTTCAGATCTTTAACATATGTGAATATAAATATATTTCGATGTTTTGGAGACTAATGTTATGATATGCTAAGGTTAGCAAGGTAAAGCCTGTTAGGAGGGGAAAAAAAATCCAAAAACTTCTGGCATACAAATTTGTCTTGGTCAGGTTTGTACGCCCAAAAAGCTTGCTAGCTTTTGTCAATCTCAGCTTATCTAATAAAAGATATTGCCTCACCTTACAAACTTTGCCTTTCTGAAGCTATGCTGTTTGTGTCCCTGAACACGTGCTTCCCTATCACACCATTCTATAGTTCCTGACTTTCATTTGGGAATGTACTTGAATTTTAGTATTATCCGTGAATATCCGATTGCTGGACCCCAGTGGCCTGGAGGTATTTTGGCAGATGAGATGGGTCTTGGAAAAACAGTAGAAGTGTTGGCTCTTATTCTGACTCATACCCGACCAGACATTAAACAAGATGATCTGACATTACCTGAGGTAAGAAAACCAGGGTAAGATTTAGCACAAAGAAATACTTTTCAGAATTAATGGAAATGCACTTATCTTGAGTTTATTGCTTTCTGTTTTATAGAAGTCCATATTTAAAGCTGGATTAAAGTACAGTGAAAATTTTTGCTTTGTAGTATGTGATACTTGGTGGCATAAATAGTGGAATGTTTTGCATGAGAAGCAGTCGAGAGTTTGCCATTGTTGAAGGGTGTTAGCAGGCAACTGTGCTGTTAATAGGCTCTTGGTAGTTTACACATACTCTAGGAGTGTATAAATATGTAACTTAATCTACTATGTTGGAAATCATTCTCCCCTTCACTTCATTGTATTGATGAGTATCAAACATCGATTAGACATACATTCTGTGCTAAAATAGGGACGATTTAAACTCAGTGAATAAATCTTTATTTCTGCTCCCTCTCTATTTCATGTAATAAATAGGCTTATTTAGCAACAGTTTTCCATCTTTTCACTTTCCTCATCATGCATCCTGTGAAAACTTAGCACATTCACTAAAACCAAAAATTCTCTCTGAAGCAAGAGAACCTTTATCCTTAAGCAAACTCTTACTTCTGTGGGTTCTGTCCTTTTGAATTCATGGCAGCCAGTTTCATTGTACATCTATTCATAATGATCTCCTGCCTGCTTGTAATTTTATCAGTTAAAAAAACTCAATTCTCAAAGAGAGAGTAAGATTCTTCTTAAATGTATCAGAGGGTCAACACTGAGGAGTGTGAAGAGGGGAGTATTAGCACTGAAGCATCTGGACATCAACTGGCAAGAACAACTAGAGACCATAGCTTTTGGAGAGCTGGAGTTCTGAAACTGTTTCATGACATGAGTATTTGGGACAGACAGCTTAGCTAATATTTTGGGATCTTTATGAACATAATTATATGACATTGCCTGTCGTTAAAAGGCACTATTGCACTCATTCAGAAGGCCCCTTGTCATCTGTATTTTTCTCATCTTCAAACATAAAATGTCTTTGTATGATGTCCTGGGGGAAAAAAAAAAAAGTGCTTTATTCCAACAGAGACTTTCTGGATGACTCCTGGCTTGTGTAAGCCAATGTCAGAGTTACTCTGAGTATTTCAGCTCACTGTAGGGCTCAAACAGTGTCTGGAGTTTCACTGCGGTTACTGTTTAAGAACTCTGCAAAGCAACCAATTGGACAGGGCAGAGTGAAGTGTCAATGAATACAGCTATAAAACAATCATAGAAATATTGGTGCTGCATTTGTTCCAGCTTTGGGATTCTTTTTTATATCCCGGTTCTTGAGTATACATCTCCTTGAATTAAATCACTGTTCCTGAATCACTGAGAGTAGATTTTTTGGGGGCAATGCCCAAAAAGAGAAACTTACTTGTTATACAACTAACTAGGACTTTTCAATCTATATTGCTTACTTCCTTTTGTGTTTCTAGCTGTATATTAAATATATATTTTCCTCCCCCCATCAGTAACCTAGATGACTTACAGCTGTAGATTCCTGCAACTTAATTCTGAAGTAGTGGAGGACCCAAGCGGCTTGCAGGGCTGCTCTTTCTGTTCTCAGTGTAGGGTGCTGAACACCATTTGCCGAGAAACTGAACTGAATGGGCTGTCACTCTGTATACTAGAAATGAGCTATCTGAGCAAATTAGTGAGGTCAGAGCACACATCTGTAGCAGCTCATGCTTATTACCAAATGTGAAAAGATTAATGAAGTTCAGAATTACTGTGGAGAGACATGAGCTAATAACTATTTAATGTTGTCTGCATTAGGGTAAGCTCGTGAACTTCTTTGTTCCACCTCAACCTTTAGAAGGAAATAAAAAGAAAAAAACAAAGGAAATGGAGCTTAAATTGAAGGAAAAAATACAATATCCCAGTAAGTATTTCTGATGGCTTTTTAAATACATGTTGCTTTTGGCATAAGTCTTATATTGGCCACTGACTATGAGTTCAATGCTGCTCTTCACTTCTGCAGAATGAAATGATTCTTTTGCTGGGCACTGTGGTGTAGGATTGCATGCTACAAACAAGTGATCCACAGTTAAAAGTAAAGTTACCAACTCAGATGTGTGCTACAGAGCTCCGTGTAACTAAAGGTCATTGTAAGAGAGTTTATGCATTTAACTGAAATGCACTGTCTTTTTATAACTGTTAGTAAGAAAATTGAGTGACTCATTTCTATTGCTATTCAATATTGTCTTAGAATCACTAAAAAATAGCAATTTGTAGGGCTACCTCAAGTAAAGCACTGTCAAAACTGCTGCCTGTCTTTTGTTTTGCGTTTTTTAAATGAACACGGTGTTTAGAGTTCCTTTTCATGTGTCCTCTGAGGTAACTTTCATTTTATCTGAGCTGTAAGGTTTTTTTGCTTTGATTCTACATATAGGCTTACGAGTGATGATATTAGCAGCTGTAAAGGAAATGAATGTGAAGAAAGGAGCATCCATTATTGCAATATTTAAGTACATCAGTGCTATATATAGGTATGACATACAGAGAAATAGACGGCTTCTCAAAAGAACTCTAGAAAAACTAATTGCAGAACAAGTAGTAGAGCAAGTCAAAGGACATGGTCTGGCTGGGTCTTTCAAGTTGGGAAAGAATTACAAGGAACAGAAGAGGCGAGAAAGAACCAAAGAGCAGGTAAAACATGCTGCCGTACTTACTTCAAAGAATGTTGCAAAGGCAGATCTTATTTCTACCAATTGCATGCTACTCTCAGCTGTGTTGTCTGTGTGCTCTAGTTCAGTGGCACTGGCTTATTGATAAAAATGAAGAAAACTGCAGCATTTGCTTCATCATTCATGAACAAAGAAGCAGAAATCATAAGTAGATCAAATTTGGGGCTAAAATATTAACTACATCTGTCATAAATCTTTTAAAATAGCGATGCAGGGGCTGGCAGATGTATTGTTTTTACTGTGAAGTTGTTTTTTAAACGTTGGTAAACAGTAACCAAATCCTCAGACTGGAAATTGATACAAAATCTTAATATCTATGTCTTGATGTGTTTATACATTCCAAAAAAAAAAAAAAGGTGAGGAGAAAGTCTGACGTTCTTGATTAATTTTACTTTGTAGATAGCAAAGACTTCAGAAAGCATTCAGAAGAAGCAGTTGATTGATGCTAAAACTCAAACCAAAGAATCAAGAAATAGTGATGTCACTTCTGAAAATGTCCTTAAAACCCCTTTACGGGTAGATATCACCATGGAAGAACATGATTATTGTACAACTAGCAAAAATAACAAGAAATCTGAAGCAGATCATAAGAACTCTGTAAAAGAGAATAATGTTCAG